TGGCACTTTTTTCGTCCTCGCTCGCCAGAAACCAGTCGTCTGGAACGTCATCCTCATTCCTGCTGCCTGTTTCTATGGGCTGATCACCAGTTTCTACTTCCTCCATAGAGAACCAGTCCATCACTTTTTGTGGGGATTTCCCACCACTAGCACCACTACCTTTATTGCAATTAGCATTCTGATTTTGGAAGCGCAATGGATTTTCATCTCTGGTGGCTCGCAAAGGATTGACCCTCTTCTGAGAGCTAGAAAGATTTTCAGATTTCTCATCTCCAAAGTCTGATTTCTGCACAAGAGAAGATGAATTTGAGGGTGCAGGAAGCCCCTTTTTGACACACCTTCCCCTCCCTCTGCCCAAAGATCTTTTTTCGCTGCCACTTGAATCCTCTTCTGAGCCAACAGAAGGAGATTTTAAATTTGATCTCGTTAAGCTGCCTGTTGAATCCCACCAAGAAACTGGTTCTGGGTCTCTAGATTTCTGCTCCTCTTTCAGATCCTTCGTTTTCCTATTGCTAGAGTAAGACACTTCCTTTCCTCCCGACTGCCTTATCTGTTGATTTTCCGTTTTAGAGCCATTATTTTGCTGGAATGTGGAACTCTGAGCTTTCAGTCCTGTGGGATTTGATTTAGGCTCTGCCAAAGCACAAAGTTTGTTCTTCAACAGTTGGCTTTTTCTTTCATCTTCCGATTTCTTTATTGTACGATCACTGGACAGAAAGTTTGATTTAGATCCAAACACCATATTGTCTGACCAGTTTGTAAAGTTCTGCGTGGGTTCCGACACTACCGGGGTCTCTTTAGGGCTCCTCAACTGATTCAAATTTCGCTTTCTGAGATTGTCTGGCGAATTAAGAAATGAAGATTGTCTGATGTCCGGTGAACTCGGAAATGATTTATCCTCTGCAGAAAAATACAATCCACTTGTCAACGACTCTGGAATCTTTCGGGCACTACTGCTACTTCCCTCTGGGCTGCTCCAGTCTGGAAGTTTCGGACTGTCCAGCAACCGATTGGTCCAATCAGGCACTTTCGGACCTGACAACTTTGGCCACTCAATGTCTTTCTTTGACTCTACAGTGGTGGCTTTTGTGTTATTTGTCAGCGTTTTTGTTTTGGATTTTTTCCATGGTTCAGATGCTGGTGCAACCGGAGAGGGAGATTCTGCCTGTGATCGTTTTTCTAAAAGGGTGAAATAAAAAAAAATATATATGTTAAAGATATTAAAGTATGATTATAACCAGACATCTTTGATGAGACTGTAGCATTTGAATTTGAAACTATTGAAATCAGACCAAAACTATAGGAGGAGTATCGTTTTGAAAAAATTTCAAAGAATTATCTAGTTTTAATTATCATGACAACACCATTCATTGAAATCAAACCGTTACACAGAATTATGTATCTTAATGTAGCCTATTTGGGTTCTAAATTATACTGCAAAATTTTCTGCATTTGTGCAATTCAGCTGCGCATCCTCATCCCTACCTTTACTGAAGTTGAATTACGCTCAATTTTTTCAACCATCTGGATGTAATTTTTCTTAAATATTATCAGTGCAGACAAATTATTGACGGCCTTGCCAACAGCACCGACAGATTCTTACAAGGCTGCGTTATTGCATAAGTTATGGCACGCCGATTGGTTCAAAATTATTTTCTGCAAGACCATCAACAAAAATTACACGAGTAAGTAAAAACTTACACAAAGTGGGGAAAGTATACGCAAAGTTATTGAAATTTACACAAACTACAGAAAAACTACACAATCAACAAAATATTTACACGATATAGTGAGAAAATTACACAAACGTAAAAACGAAAACTGCACGAGTGAGAATACAACATCGACATAACATACGACGCATCCTCATTGCGCACATTTCATTAATATTCATTAGAGAACAACTCAGGGTGGCTTGGATGCTTGAACATATACCTATAAATTTATCCTAAAGGATTAGTAACGTGTTAGTAATATTTATTTAATCTTTTTAAAAAGGATTCAGTCTTTGGAATTCCGCTAGACTCTCAAGAATATGTACAATGTTATTTATACATGTATAAATTTACACACAATCTTAAGTATGGAATATGAACACCCCTGATTAAAAACATTCTACACATGTATAAATAACGTAAAAGGGATGCATATTACCAGTTGTGTGTTAATTGTTAGATTTTTAAATGGTGTCATTCCTCTATCATTGTCTATATAGCAATTTCTTTTGAAAGTGTAAAATATTGATATAGTAAAGGTCTTCATAAAAATTAATAAAAGCAGCATGTAATGTAATACAAGACAGTTAACAAATCAAACTCCTCTCCTCCACCTCCCACTGTGTGTACGTCTGTAATAATTAAGGATGTGGATGCGTGACCTTTTCATATAGAGAGAACCCTCCCTGCTGGTGAAGGAATGAAAGGCACCTGTACGCTAATCGATTTATAGTTATTTGACACATCAAAAATACCTTTTGATTAAGGATTACTAGCAGTTCATACAGAGATGCGATCATCTGGGTTGTGGAATTTGACAGAAAACTGTTTGGAAATAAAGAGTAAAAAATAAAAATAAGGCAAATAATTGCGCAACTTTAAGTTTTATATTGAAACGATCGAATATAATTATTAATTTTTTTTATATAACTATGTATTTGACAAAGTAGAACATGTAGTCTTTAATTTTGAACAATGTGTAGTGATTTCATAAATATCCACGTAAATGTAGAAAATTGTATGTAAATTGTAGTCGTTTTGCCTATGTGAATTTAAGCTTAATATATTATGTTTTTTTTATCGAGTTTGCTTTGAATAGGTAAAATGCATATAAAGGAGTTAAAACAATTTAAAATTATAATATACAGATACATATAATATCGGTAAAGTATCGCTTTTGATAGTGGGGAGGGGGTTAGATTTTTTTTTTTGACAAATTACCTGAAAAGCCTAATTGCATGACAAGCGAAAAAAAGGCGGGGGGGGGGGGGAGTGTCCAAACTCGAAAATCCTATTTCGTTGAGGTAGTGAGGCACCTTCAATACTCCACCTTCTTTTCGAAACACATAAGCATATATTACTTAGATTTAAACTACATGTACCAATCAAAAATGGGGGTGAGGCTTTTCAGTGGATATTTACGATAAGAAAAGGTTATGTTTGCCCCCCAAAAAAGAAAACGAACAGGGGGAGGGACATGCCCCTCCTGATGCTACTGGCTGAAATATTTTTCTATGAATTTAAGCGTACATGAAGTAGTCGATCGAAATCAGGATTGCAATTCAACCTAAAACAATAACGATAAATATTGTAATTAACCGTCCATATCCTGGAATTTGCGCTCGACCTAACAACATTTAAAAATTGAAGGTTAGGGGGTCAACCACCATATAAGGAAAATTTATTGTTGCAAAGTCTATAATACTCAGAAAAAAGTAGGGAGGAGGGGGGGGGGACTTCTACAGGCCCGATTGCCGATTAATTTCATTTTATGATTATACAGTCATGTTCTTGTTATAATGGCCATAGATTTGGATTGAAAATTGTTATTACAAAAAAATTAAATTTAGTGTCTGGGAAATAATAGATTATTAAAATTTTATGAATACGAATTCTAAATGTAAAGAGAATTTGTTGTCTTTGAAAATATTTTGCAAAAATTGTGCTCTATTTGGAACATGTTTTATTTGCATTTTTCAAGAATGATAAAACAAGTTCTATATTCTTTCCATTTATTATCAAACTGCAGTATCCATTCCCATTATATTTATGTGTAACGTTGTATGTAGATGTATTTAGTAATTCACAATGTTTTAAAAGTCTTGGTGTGTCATTATGGTCCAACGATTTGAAACTTAAATAAATTTATATTGTGACTCCAATCTATCCACGAGCCAGGTCCGCCACTGATCATGTGTTTTTCCATAGCCTGGATTATTTGAGTAGAGTTTTGTTATTTTATTTGGACAAATTTAATTAACAAAACACAAAAGCGCATCTACATAGAGTATATAAGTATATTCTCCGTTCATCTGGACCTTTTTGTTAAAAATGAAAACATTTATCAAGTAATCGCCATTACGATTGAGGGCAACGCTTACAAGAAATATCTTGTTTTTATTTCGAAGTTTATAACTGAAAATATGAAATATCATGGAAAAAATCACAACAAAAAGTAGGCTACAGATATCCAACCAAAATTGATATCGGATATTTTATAAGTTTGGATACATATGTAAATAGAAATAAAATATTTTTATGCTTGACATTAAAAATACGTTGTGTATTAACTTAAAGGTAATCCTCACTTTTTAAATTTCAAAATGTACACATTTGTATATATCCAGCCAACTGAATATTTAATTTCCTATTCCGAAATGTGGAAAAAATCTCCTCAAATGATTTTTGAAAATCAAGATCCTTGTCAGCCGTACTTTTTTTTTTTTTACCCCGCATTGTAGCACAAAAGTATCGATTCATTCTCGTTACAATTTTTTGTCCGGCATTATATAATACATCCTTGATCTCGGTCAATATAAGAAAAACATTGTATTTTCAAAAAGCTTTTAAATACTCTCGCATAGATCAGATGGAAACACTTCATTCGAAATCGGATTGTAAAAAAGCAACTTCCATTCTCGATAACATTCAGCTTAGCATACATGAAGAGATAAAGAGTACAGAAAACCAAGAACACAATGAATATTCTATGTGCATAGTAATGATATGCGCAGCTGTATGCGCGGTAAATTGTATGTGTAATTTTTAGTTTCCTCTGCTCGTGCAATTTTCGATTTTTGTTTGTGCATATTAAACCCTTTGATCGTGTAAAAAATTTCGGATTCGTATATTTTTCGTTATGTTTGTGTAAAAATCTTTTAAACTATGTGCAATTTTTACCGATATGTGCATTTTTATTTTACTCGTGTATATTTTCCTTCTAGCTCGTGTATAAAATCGTGATCGTTGTGCAGAAAATAATTTTGAACCAATCGGCGTGCCATAATAAGTTATCTCGACTTTTTTTTAAGTGAGCTCAAAAAATATTTAAACTTTTCCCAGGATCAAAAGGTATTCCTTTGTCCCTGTTTTATCTACATCTTGTTTGCCTTACCTGTGATTTTGATCATGTCTGTCTGTACCCCTTTGTCTACCATTGTCAGAGCCTTGGTCTGAGTACACGAGTGAATTTCCTCTTTCTTTGCTGTGGGTGATATCACAAACTTCTCTATGTATAGGTCCAGCAACTTTGACCGCACCAACCTTAAATAAATGTACCACAATATTTGACTAGTCCACAGGAAGAAATTGTCAAATTATGTTTGATTTTATTCCTTTCTTTAAACAAGAGGATCCTAATTTATTTATAGCAATCACAGAAGTCTTGCAGCTGTATCTGAGTGACCTTGAAATGTGGATGTCAATTCCATGCCCCTAAACAAGGTCAAACAACTGAACAGCTGACAAATAAACAAGAATAAAACATAATCTGTTTATAAGGGCAGTCTATACACTATGTCTTGTAAGTGGGTTATGGGGGGGGGGGGGGGGGGGGGGGGGGCGGAGGTAATTTAAGATCAAAGGGTAAAATCATTTTATACTGCAAAATAAATCATTTTATACTGCAAAATACATCAGACAATTGGAACTCTTTTGTGTTCAGTTACTGAGAGTCCTTAATGTTGCTGAACAAGGTATAAAAATAACCTCTAAATAGCTGGAAACATTGTCATTAAGAACCTTATTTCGACACTCTCTCTGAAGCCGAGCTTTGTGTTCAGGATAAAGACGGCAGATATAAGATCCCACAATGCACCACACAATATCGAAACATTCGATGTAAAGCTTCTGTTATCAGTCCTGTCCTAGCTATTGAGCCTGAAAAACAAGTGAAATATATAATTAGCGATATTTCCTGACAACTTTCAGTTTATCAAATCAAGACTATTAAAATTAACGTGAAATTTTACCTAAAGTTTTATCACTTAGAAACAAGATGTTTACTTCAAAAATTATAATTTCTCTCTTAACAAAAACAGTAGTAGTGTATTGATGATCAAAATGTAATTCAAAATTAAAGTATATTAAAAAAAATGAACTGGTGGATGTACAAGAAGTTCTAATTTCTACATATTCTTTGAGTTAATACTCAGTCCTATAATCTAAGATATCTAATGTCAATATTAAGGTATTTTTGACTAAAAAAATCTTTTTTTTTTGTTTTGTTGAATATTATCCACTTCTCCAAAGCTGATAACATCATCTCTTGAATTTGGTTGCTGTTCAAATTTTATTTAAAACTCAAGTCATTAAGATTAAAAACAACAAAATAAAAATGTTGACCTACAAAAATTACTGATCAGATATCATTAAATGATTACTCAATTTGATCAGATATCAAATATTGTGCACTATAAAAATATACACAGAGACATACCTGCCAGACCAGTGAAGGCTCATTGTGAAGATATGAGCTAACACCTTACTGGCCTGGACATGAAATGGACTCCCCTTCATCTGGATCTGTAGGGAAGTCATTATTACTTAATATTTAGTTATGTTGAAGAAACATCCAAATTCAACACAATAGACCTTATTGATATACATTGTTCTGAAAATTATGGAAATTTTAAGCATGGGAAAATTAGCGCTAGTTTTCATGTAATTTTCACTGCTTGTCATTAACAAAATAACAGGTATTATTCTGGTATCATGGATACGCTTTTGCTACAGATTCACATATTAATGAAATAATCAAAATTATGCATAAATACATGAAATTTTGCCTTCTTTTCATCCTCTGTAATTTTTCAAATCACTTTTTACCTTGATGTTGTTTTCTTCTATTTTCTTACAGGACAGTTAAAGACATTCAGGAAAATCTTCTGTCACTAAAATCAAAACAGATATACTGTATATATGGAAATTTAAGCAAGATGCAAATTTAGCAGTCTTAAAAATTGATATTACATTTTCAGCGTGATTTAATTTTAAAATGATTTTTAAAATGCTTAAAAAAGAAACTATTACAATTTAAACGCAATTACATTTAGCTTATATTCAATTTTAGTGATCTCAGCACTCTCGCTAATATGCCAAAATTTATCCTCGCTAAAACTCCTGCTTATAGGCCTGTGGTACAATGAGAGACTTGCATTGAAATACTTTTTGTCTGCTCTTAGCAAAAATTGACTTTATACCAAATTATTTTTATGTCCTTTTTAATTTTATCTCTTTATTTCATGTCCATTATAATCAAATAATTATTCATAAAGCTTGAATTTATTCAGACAGTTCCTCAAGTCAGCTGATGATAGAAAAAAATATATATATATCAGTCCTCTTCTCAAGAACCACTGGGTAAGAAAAGATGTGACTTATGTGGAAACATTTTCATGTAGTGTTGATTCAAGTTTGTTTAATTTGGCTTTCTCTCGGAGTACATCGCAATCGCAGTATAAACACAATACTCAAATCATTACAAAAGTAGGCGTCAGGACTGAAATGCAATAGAATTTAATCATGGCGACTGCCAATTTTAACCATGGTGCAGGTCGTTTAACCATGGCGCTCATAAATTTAACCATTTGTGGCGCCATCGTAAAACCTCTTGTAGAGAACTCTGCTATACTACATAAGGATGTTTCTATTACATATGTACTTTCATCTTTTCTGGTTCATTACTAGTGGTTCTAGTGGTTCTTGAGAAAAATAAAATTTTTTAAAAATGCCAATAATTTTTCACTAATTTTTAATTATTTCCCTTTGGAATAGGGTGTGGTCCTTCATTATTTAAAAAAATTTAACCCCCTTTACCCAAGGGAAATTTGGATAAAATTGGTCCAGTGGTTCTTGAGAAGAAGTTGAAAATGTGAAAAGTGTACACACAGAGACAGCTTGACAGACAGACTCAGATTAGAGATAAACTATGACAGTGTTGGGAAACAGAAGAGTGGATCAATATATTTAATTTTAATATTACATAAAATTCGTTAATATTTACAAGGAAATTTAAAAACTTTGAAATATTTTCATACAAGATGGTGAAGTCAAACAAACTGTCAAAATATTATTCAAGTACTGTGGTTTCATTCAGGTTTTGTACATATCATAGACTAAGAAGTAATTAAAGTGAGTCATACGGTATTATGCCTATGTGTCCTTAATCACCTCCAGAAATATCATGATTAGGAATCTTACATTGAATATGACTGCAGTAAAATGCTGGAGAATACCAGTAAACGTATACTAAACTATCCTAGGGTTTTCATAAATCTACAGGAAGGATCAAAAACTACAATTAATAGGTTCTTTTTTGAAGTTTAAGTAACAAAAATACATGTAAACACGGATGCATTGAAATATGCCAGTCTGTATTACTTAAAACATTGTTAATAGTAAGAATTGACAGCAAATATTTAGAATCCACACATGAGATTATACACAAAACTTAACGATTGAATCCATGTTTTTGTGGCATCTGTTACAATTTCATAGAATGATTAATCACAATTCAAGTAAATTACAATGTGTATTGAAACACTTTGACAACTCCTTCAAAGTATCCCACCCACAGTGTTGACTTGTACAGAGATAATTTGGCTGGATGGTTCACATCATTCCTCTGGAGTAAGAACTTCAAGAACTCCCCGTCAGGACTCAGCAGGTGGATCTGTTTGTTCTTCAAGTCAGTAACAAGGATGTTACAGAGGGAGTCGCACGCTACATCTCTTGGATTAAAGTTATCAGTCAGGTTCTGCCCCTGGTAAATAGACCTCATACGGCCAGAAGGAGACAAAATCACTAGTTCACCTATATTGTCACCTATATAGTTCACAACACAGATATCACTGTTACTGTTCTGTATGACTCTGACTGGCATTGTAAACAGTCTGGTGTGACCATTCTCCTGGTACTCATGCTCATTGGTGACATCACCTGTCACTGTGATGTGTCTCACCAGACGTCTGCTGTATAACTCTAATTTGGTAGGATTTGGCTCCATGTCTCTCAAGGTGACCAGTAGTCCACCGTCCACTGACCGACAGATTCCTAATGGTTCCAGTGGATCTGTACCAATGAATTTAGAGACAGAGCCTGATGGTGACAGACAACTGATAGAATTGTAAACAAAATCAGTAAAATAAACATCACCAGCATCGGTCACACACATGTCAGTAGGATTGATATTACATTTATCTTTTTTTCTTACCATTTTTGTTTACTTGTTCAATGTAAGTTGTCTTTATATCTCCTATATAACACTGATCTTCACACAACGCCCTCAATACAGCTATTATTTTATCTCCATATTTAAATGAGCTTGTTTCAGTCAAACTGATATTGTTTAAATCCTGAGTTTTTCCGATCATATTCTCCATCATCTCAACAGTAATTTCTCCTGTATCGTATCTCGCTGAATAATTAAAGTTGTTAAAATCAATGTCCTGGTCAATCAGCTTTTTGGACAATCCCTTGTGGTTGTCAAGGAAGCCGTAATCAGACATGGTTCTGTTGTTATCCTCCATGAACTTTACCATCTCTTCTATTTCTTTCATCTTTTTGTTTAGCTCAGATTTCGCACTGTTCAACTTTTTATTTTTTTCCTCCAAATCCTCTGTTAATCTGCGTTCATTATTTTTTCTGATTTTTGTCAACCTGGCCATTATCTCATCAACATGATTCTGAAGTCTTTTAATCTCAGAGTCACACATTTCTTTATTTTTTGTGATCCTATTTGACACTTTCTCCATCTTTTCATAAATCCCAGGCAAATTCTCTTTCTTGATCTTCTTCAGAAATTTACGTAGACCTCTCCTCCTTTTGGTTGCTGCTGTGGGTAGAGTGCTCCATTCATGATCTCTATGATCTGTCTTGGCACATATACCACAAATGAATTCATCACAGTCCTCACATATAACATCAATAGGTAAATCATGGGTTTTACACATTTCAATGTGCTCTTGAGGAGAGCCCAGTGGATATTTTGGTTTACTGGCTGCCATGTTTGTTGAATGTCTCCTAACTATGACCTAGATTTGAAGTAGCGGTAAGTGAACTGCGGTGTGATTTGAACTTTAAACCGAGCAGTAAGTAACATGATACGCACAGTCAACAAAACAAGTGCACCTATGCAAGTCATAATATAAAGAAGCAGCTTTAAACTACGCGTATTCATGTGACACTATATAAAATTTTGAAAATATATCTAACATTTTATGCATTATTTCTAAGGTAGGCATTTTTACAGGGGTTAAACTGAAAGGTGTTTTGACACCTTTTTGAATTTTTGGCAGATTATGCCACTAAACTGTGTGCTTACAGGTAAGACCCTTAGAAGCAACATGCATGAAAACAAGAGGCCCCAAGGCTACATTGTTCACATGAGCAACTGGCTAGATAAAAGCAAAATCCCGTTCAGCATTAAAGTTTAACTTGCTGCACAGTTTATAAGATGAAAAAGATGAAAATTTGATTGATATAAGCTTTTTATTCTTTTGAATAACTATGATCCATTTTAATAGCTTCTCTAGTCTCCAGGCTGGTCATGATTTCAACAAATTTAAATCTACATCAACCTTTTTTCAACGTTTCCGACGATGCCCTTTTTTATGCTTTTATATTGATGATCAATCATGGCTTTGTTGTCCTTGTGAAGAATTGTAACAATTTTCCCTATGTATTCCTACGTAAAACCTTGATCACCCATAGTGGCCCCTTTATACCCCTGGTGGTCATAATTTGAACTTGAATCGACACATGTAAACTACCCGAGAATCTTCTTATTCGAAAGTTACATCCATTTGTCTTTAACCAATTTATTAGCCCAATTCTATATTTCCCTCAATAATTCAAGAACTGAGCAAGATATCAAAAATCTGAGATACGGTTTTGTGAACACACATTTGAGACGCATTCTGACCAGTTTTCAGAGAAATTGGTCAATAAATAAGGGAGCTGAATCCTTTGAAATTATATACCAACTGTCTGATCTTACTTTAAAGAAGAGGGCAAAAACGCATTACACAACAAAGTCTGCCAAAGTTATAAATATGACACCTTGGAGATTCAACTTTGGATACCTGTCACTTATCCATATTTCCAATGCATATTCACAAGAATGGGAGGTTCTATTCTTCATTTAGGTGCTTTTAATGAAGTAAAATAGGTTTAATTCTAAATCAGAGAGATTTCCCGGCAAAATGGCAAGAGCTAAGCTCCATCTCCTATTTCATGGTCATTAGTGACTTGTTAGATCTCCTTCCTAAATCTATACTTTTCGCTCATGAAAGTGGAAAGTTTTTGGACATTTTGATCATTTAAACAGATATTTGACAGCATGAAAATTTTATTAAGGATAAAGCAATGGGTTTTTTTCAAGATTTTTGTCCCTGTCCCTGTAGTTTAATTACTGATAACCTCTGTGGGGCTAGTGAAGAATTCCCCAAGTGGTCACAGTGATTTATTGCTCCTTTCAGCAAAAGCTTCAATAATTGGCACATTCACATGTGTTAGTGTTTATGTTTGATTATTGTTTAATATTAGAAAACCATTTAATAATCAGCAAGAATTTTTCATGCATTATAAAGCAGTGATTAGCATTGTTTTCTCAGCCAAAAATCTCAACATTGACAAAAATCTTGAAAAAAAAAACCATTGCTTTATCCTTAATAAAATTTTCATGCTGTCAAATATCTGTTTAATTATTAAAATGTCCAAAAACTTTCCACTTTCATGAGCAAAAAGTACGATTAATAATTTACAAATGAAAAGACTGACATTACTTCCAAATCTCGCTGTTTCGTAATCATGGTAATAAAACATTTTATATCAATGAATACAAACTACAAATCAGGTAACTACCTTTATTTTTTTTCAGTGAACAAATTGCATTTTCTCCATAAATAAAACATGTAGAACACCTGATAAAACAACAAAGATTATTTCATCAGCTTATAATGCAGTTTACAAACCATAAATGCTGTCAACAAATAAAAATGCTTTAAAAAGAAAAAAAATCTTTAAAATTATTAAATTTCGATCAAATGTACTCCATACTTTTTCTTTCTTAAAAGACTGACGTCTATTATACATACATGCTACAATGACACTTTGGAAAAATGTTTTCGAAAGATGAAAACTACTGCCTTTTTACAATCAAAGGAATTCATTCTTTCATTTCAAATCACATATAATTATTACATAATTTTAATCAAGAATTTATAGTATATTCAAATAAAACCTCATTTTAAATGACAGCATCAATCAGACTTCGAAACAAACAAAATAGACACCTAGCTCTTCTATAGTGTACAATCTAATAATTTTAAAAGTAGCAATATTAAGTATTATTCAAAACCATATACAAAAGAAATATTAATAAAACTGACTTGCAACATCTTTCTTCTGTATGAATGCAAAATTAAATACTACTGTAACATCATCTCATCAAAACTAACCCCTAACTGCCATCTGACAAAAAAATTATTTTAATTTTGCAGAATATGACAGAGGAATTCCACCACTGTATAAAATTTTCTTCATTGGACCTAATATCTAAATGACCACAGTCTTAAGAAGATTCATTTTGTTATTTTTGAACAGACATAATATCAGTTAAACAGGAAAAAACTGTAAGAGCTACTTCTTTACAATAAAATGGTAGGCACTTGGATGTCTTAGCTTTAAGAAATATGAGAGGCAACTTTGAAGTCGGAAACTTTTCATGTTGTAATTATAACCATCTCAATGTCAGGAAAAAGTACATTTTTAGAGTTCAGCTGTTTATATTTGAGAGGAGTGAAATCTTTGGCTGAATGCAAAATATCTGTATTTTGGTCTATTTGATCATAAAGGATTAAAATTAAATACAGATTTATCATGATAATAGCATTAGAATATTTTGACTGGAAAATAAAATTTTCAAAAAATGCAGGTTATACAGCTTTTAAAAAAAACTCGGAGCTTCTTCTCTTAAATCTTGAAGACCTATCTGACTTTTATATAATATTGTACCCAACATTTTTGAGCTCTCATTTCTAATCTTACAAGTTTAATACTCCAAGACAAGATTTCTACATTTTTTCTTCACCCAAAACTTTACATCACACTTTGTGGAAAATATTTCAAATGGTTCAAATCACTCTGGAATGACCAGTTATGCTGGAATATTGATCATCTTTTCATGAAGTTAATATTTTTTCATGGCAAAACGTTGAAATGTAAAACTGGCACATTAAAATTTCTATACATTATTACATACTAATATTCAAAAACCAGTTAGTGTATTGTACATGGAAAATCTCTTTTTATGGATATACATGTACATGTATTACCAATTTTAAAGAAAAAACCCATTTATTATGAATATTGTACTTTACAATATTTAATTTAAAAACAATCATTTAACATGAAAATGATGACAAAGACTTTAAATTTGGGCCCTTCTGCAATTGCTGACATTAAATACAATATTATATCACAAGCATGGTTATGCACCTTTGGGGAATCTGACATTTGGTTAAGCTGTTTTAAGTTTACCATAAAGTCCATGTACATAAATAAAACCAAAATAAAAAGCAGACAAGTTTATATGAGTTAGAGGCACTGAGAGAGATTCACAGAGAGAAAATTCTTCTTTTTTTGTCCACTTTAATTATTAGTTAAGACACAAAAGGTCAAATCCTTGAGAAATGTCCTATAGCTCTGGAGCAAAATGGCTGAATTTTCCTTTGTTCTACGTTTAAAAAAATATAAGCTGACTTCTCTTAAAATTCAAAAGGGCTTCAAACCACATTTAAAAAAATAAGGGATGGTATACAAGGACACACAAACCTTAAAATAAATCATTTCAAATGCTTTAAAGCTGCTATTTTTTCCCCAGGAAATATCTTATTTGTTAAAATTACAGGTGTGGAACAAATGCATAGTATTTAAATGCATATTTTACTTCAAGATATACATTCAAAAAGATTTGCAAATTTACATACTAGTATTTCTTCGGAAGAGGTAAATTATTTAAGCAATATATAATTATTAATTAAGTGACTTGGTATAAACAAAAGTGTATCTAATTAAGGGATTCTGTGTCCCCAACTTAGGGAAAAAAACAAAAGCATGCGAGAACTGATAAAATACAGATGAAGAAAGAAAAGACCTTGACTTTTGGGTTCAAAGTCAATAAGTAAATTTATGTGCTCAGATGCCCATGCAAAATCTTGCAGAGAATTGTTATGCAAACTATGAATTTCAGACTTTTTGTAAAATTAAGAGAAAATTTGTTCACTGGGAGTTGAAACTTTATTGAATAACCTCAAAGTACAAATTATAATCTGGGAACCATTCTGTTTTAATTTATAATTAAAAGATTTTTTAATTTCTTAGTTTTATTTGGGGACATTTACCAGCCTTGTAAAAATAAGTTCTTTTTTTTTAATGTTGACCTTAGCAAATTATGATCCTTACATCACACACTGGAGCAATTTTGCAGGAGAAAGAGTTAATGGTCAGACAATATTTCATAAGTTTACCTGAATCAAGAAACATGTGAAGACATTTGATAACTGATCCTTCCAGTGAAGGGTACAAATATACATTCAGATACACACTCACATTTTGACCAATAAAGATAGCTGAAGGCTTCAGATCATATTGTGAACGGTGGGTATAAAAGCTTATCCTTAAACACAAGAACAAGATAATAAAATGGCACATTTTTTACATAAAAAAGCTGTTGCACTGTTCCTGTGGCACTTGTATATAAGATGATCATTCGCACCACACAGTGTACACTTTCTTTGCCAAGGAACCCACTTAGAAACACTTGAGCTTTCTGTAAATCCCTGGTCAGAAGTGTCGGCATTTGCAGGCCTCATATACATTTCATCATCTGAGCTCTGGTCCGCTTCCCACAATCTATCATCCTCACCCTCCTCGTCGGAAAAATGGGAGGGTCGCGTGGGGCAGTCACCGCTGCCGTACGCGTCCTCACCATCAAATTTACCGT